TCCCAAAGGCGCGGGATTACAGGCTGAGCCACCGAGCCCAGCTCAATTGAGGTTTTGATCAGGAATTGGTTGCCAGTTCCAATTTCCATAAGTCAGTTCAGCTAGGGGTTCATTAACCTTGTTTATCCTTTGAAAGAAATAGCTGTTTCTTCCTTTTTTTTTTTTTTTGTATTATATTTTTGTCTTCTATGTCCTGAATTTCAGCCTTTATTTTGGTGATCTGGGTTCTTCTACTGAAGTTAAGCACTTTTATTCCTTATTGCCTTAGGGATGTCCTGCAGTAGTACATTAAAATCAGTATAAAAAAAAGTGAACTAGTTTTATTTTCTTCAAGGAGTTAAAACTTCAGAATCATCTTTGTTTTCTTCATCTTCCTGAGCTGCAACCAGCTTTTAATTGCTACCAAGCTCTGTTAATTGCCACTATACAAATTCTCTTACATCTCTACTGCTCTTAACATGACCACGTAGATTATGGAATGTCAGATTATCATTACCTAACTTGTGAACTCTTGCAATAGAAGATTGGATCAGCTCTATGGGGAGTGTAAAGTATTTTCCTGAATCTAGTGTCTGTTTTTATACATTTCATTTTCAATCTTCCTAAAGGTCAAGGTAAGGTCCAACTTCTTAGAGAAGTATTTTGATCTTGCCATTTCCACACTCAAAAAAATTAATGAATTCACATGTCTTTAGGGATAATTTTCAAAAATTTTAGGTTGGTAATAAAGGCCTTTTACCATTTGATTCTACCTACAAAAGTGATCATTTTTCCCTTTGAATCTTAGTAATAGCTTGTACTAACTTGATATGAGAAAAAAGGTAAATATTATACTAACCAGATATTCCCTCTCACTGATGCCAAACTGACCACCATATTTCAGATTGAATTTATTGCCTCTAATTCCTAGTATTTTCTATTCCCTTTCCATGCTTAATTTATCTGCTAAGCACTGGCATTTTCTAACATACTCCCCATATTTTACTTATTTATTCTCTTTATTTTTATCTTTCTTATCAGATAACTTACTTAAGAACAAAGATTTTTATGTATTTTGTTTACTGTATTCCTTATGTCTACTGAGTATCTGCCACATGGTACATGCTTAATAAATTTTTGTTAAATAAAAGTATGAGTGAATGACACATTTCACATCTAAATTATGAATTATGTTGTTGAATCTTATATAATAATTTATATAACAAAATCAAGCAGTAACATAAATTTTATTTTAAAAAATTATTTACTATTTTGAAAATATGGTAGTGTCTCTCTCTCTCTCTCTCTGGAGAGTTTTCTCTTTTGGCTGACTTTCAATACATGTAACTTAAATTTATAATGATCCTTGATTTTCAAGTGATTTTTGCTGATATTAATTTGAGGAGAACTCTTCCTTGGATCAGCTCTATAGGGAGTGTAATAGAATGAGAGCTAGCTCTGCTGAGGTTAACTTTTAAATACAGATGGATTCTTCTTACTGGTCAAGTAAATCTTGATATCATAAATTGGAAGGCATAAGCAACCAACTAGAAAGCATGTTAATTTTAATGATGCTTTGTTTTACTAAAGAACAGTTGTCTTAACTAAATAATCTATCATTGCTGCATGTTCAATTTTATCTACAATAAAGGACCAAGTTTTCATGATTGACTCCAAGTGTGAATCTGGAAAAGGACGCTGCTCTTTCAACCCCAATGTGAACACAGTATCTGTTATGATCAGTAAGTAGAGAATAAAGGAGGGAGTGGCAGATATAAATAATAGAAAATTGACATGACCTGGTATGTCTATTTTGAATGGTTGCATAAATCATAGTATATGAGTTAAATAATAGGAAGAAAGTTGTGAACTGAGAAATAAAAAGTTTAACTTCTCATTTCTAAGAGAACTTATGATTAAATGATAAGCATGTATCTTTTTATGATGGTTTTTTCATTCTTAGAGCAAGTCAAGCATTTTTAAAAAGTATATTATGTATATGCATAGTTATATGTATTATGAAGTAGTCGTCAATGTTTCTGTAATTGTGTTTCCAGTATTAAGTATAGCTTCTTTTTCTCATGTTTTAGTATTTTTGAAACTTTCTTTCATTATTTATTTATAGTTAACAAATTATAATTGTATATATTTGTGGGTACAATATAGTGTTTTGATCTATGTATACATTACAGAAAGATTCATTCAAGCTAATTGACATACCTATACCTTATCATTTTTTATTGAGATAATATTATAAATCTATTATTTTAGCAATTTTGGAACATATAAGTTATTATCAACTATGGTAACCATGCAGATCACTAAAACTTAGTGCTCCAATCTAACTTAAACTGTGTACCCTTTGATGTAAACATTATCCTTTTACCCATCCGTCTCTCTCTCCTAGCCTTTGATATCCACCAATGTACTCTCTATTTCTATGGCATCAAAATTTTTAGATTCCACATATAAGCAAAATCATACATTATCTGACTTTCTGTGCCTGGGTTATTTCACTTAGTATACTGTCCTCCAGTTCCATTCATATAGTATCCCGTGTGTGTGTGTGTGTGTGTGTGTGTGTGTATACACACCACATTTTCTTCATCCATTCATGTGTTCACAGACACTTAGGGTGCTTCCATGTCTTGCCTATTGTGCATAATGCTGAATTGAACATGGGAGTGCAGACAATGTGATATCACCTCACGTGTTAGAATGGCTATTATCAAAAAGACAAATGGTGAAAAGTATTAGCAAAGATGTAGAGAAAAGAGAATTCTTGTTGTTGAGAATGTAAATTAGTATAGCCATTTTGGGAAATAGTATGGATGCTTCTCAAAAACTAAAAATAGAATCAGCATATGATCCAGCAGTTCCATTTCTGAGTATATATCCAAAATAATTGAAATCAGTATGTCAGAGGTTTTTGCACTGCTGTGTTTTGGTAATATTTTACAAATGATTAAACATGGTATTTATTTTAAATGAAAGAACAAAGTGCATGTATTAGCTGAGTGCATCCTCTATGGTTTGTCTAAAACTTGCTATACTAAAAACAGGGCAGTGTTGAAACTTTTTTTTTTCACTTTCCATAAAAAATAAGTTAAGCAGCAGCCCTAATCACTTGTTGATACAAACATTGACAAGTCCATTTTTATTTAATTTTTAAAAATTTTTTTGAGTTGGAGTCTCATTTTGTCACCCAATCTGAAGTGCAGTGGCATGGTCACAGCCACCACAGCCTTGTCCTCCTGGGTTCAGGCAATCCTTCCTCCTCAGCCTTCCAAGTAGCTGGAACTACAGGTGCTCCACCACACCTGGCTAATTTGTTTATTTATTATAGGTATGAGGTCTCACAGATTTCCCCAGGCTGGTCTCGAATCCCTGGACTCTGGCAGTCCTCTTACCTCAGCTTCCCAAAGCCTTGGGATTACAGGCTTGAGCCACTGTGCCTGGTCCTCAATTTGGTTTTAAACCTCAGTCATCAAATATCTTTCTATGATACCCATAAAAGACATTCTCTGCTGGTTAATTAAGGCACTTTTAGAATATGTCTGAATTATCATGAGTTGACTCTGGTGACAAATCTTAGATTTCAGTATGTCAAAAGTATAGAAGACACTTTTTCCTCTTTGCCTTCTTTATGTATTTCCAGTAGTACAATTCCATTCTTGGACAAAAGAACAGGTGAAAAAATAATTATTGTGTTTAAAATGCTTGCTTTGATTCATTTAAATAGACAACTTAACTTACTTTCTCATATCTGGAAATTAACCTAAGACAGGTACACCTTGGAAATTGTTGAGTGAATTACTTCCACCTGGTCATTCAAATTAGACAGAGAGGAGCCAAAACTATATCATTAGAACAAAAAGTTAGCTTTGAAACTACAAAGCTGTCCAATTATGTCTACTGCAAGGTATTTTCAGATATATTTCCAAGTATTATTTAATAGGAGCAGTGTTATGGAAAGACTATTCCGTTTGGAAGGAAACTTTATTTACCTTCAAAAACCATATGATGTGTAGGATAGTAGTTAAATATAAATATACATATGTAGTTTTTATTTAATTCAAGTTAAATACTATGAAAATAAACTTCAGAAATCTTTTAAAATAGCTAATAATGGAGTTTTATCTCATTGAATATTGGCTAGAATAAAAAGGTCAGAACAAGACATTATGAATTTTCTTGCTAAGCTGTCACAAGTCTTTTAATAGTTTTGTCTTTAGAGAATTGCCTTGGTTTACAGAATAAGAGTTAGATATTGACCCTTTTGGTTTTGCAGGGATTTGAAACTTGAATTTTTATGTAAATATTCCTATATTACATTTTAATATTTGATTAATTTTACCATTTGTAATCAAGATAAAGTCATTGAACAATCTGCCTAACTTAAAGACTAAAAATATTATGAACAGAAAGCTTTATAAAATTTATAAGATATTTGTCATTTTATTCACCCAGTTGATTATTCTTCTGAAATTATCTCCAATAATTTGTGTGGTCATGTCATTTAACTATACAATAATTCTTTGCCATTTCCATTCAAATGCAATGCACTAAAAAAGAAAAGGAAAAAAAACACAGATTGGTTAAGATACCTGTTAAATGCCAGGAAACAACGAGAATTAGAAGAATTCCAAATTGCATAATTCAGTGTGCTTTTGCTATTTTCAGTTACTGCTGTAGAGCATCAAGGAAGTCATGTATTATCTTTTAAAGGATGTATCATAAACTTCATGAAGTTTTCTGGTCAGTGGAAGTACACTTGGAAAGCAAAATATTTTTGGATTAAAGTTAAAAGGCACAAACTAATCTTCATATAAAACCCTGCAAAGATACTTTGACATAAACTAACAAAAAAATCTTTTCTAAGTCCCTTCCAAAGTGACATTAATTAAATATTTCTTATTGATACAAAGTGAAGCAGAAAGTTTCTAACTTGCTATTAAAAATACCGAGAATTTAGGCCAGGAAATAAAGTCATTAGACACCCAGGCTTATGTAATGCTTAAGACATAATGAATAAGGTGTATGCAACCGGATTAGAATTAACCCTCTCTGCTGCACAACACCTTCTATTTCTTTATTTGGAAACAGAAATGACCATTGATAGCTGTGCTAATCAATCTGTTGAGCAGCAGAACTTTATAATTCATAATTTTGCAGTTAATGGGCGATAACAAAAAACTGGAATAATTAATTACAAAGTTATCACAATTTAACAGCCAGATATATGTGTATACATGCCTCATAAATGTTCACAGAATTTTAAAGTAGCTAAATTGCTCAAAATCCTCCCTGTACTTTTTTGTTATCTTCCTGTAATCTGTTTCCATGGGCCTTAGACCCCTACTAGAAAGGAGAGCTGAGCTACAAAGCCTGCTGCAACAGCTTGCCAACTGGTAGGGGTCCAGTTGATCACCCGGTGAGCACATATTAGGCACATTCCATTCTCTGTTCTATCCTGGGCCAAGTGGTATTGCTTATTACTAAACAGCTTAGAGTCCTTCAGAATGGTTCAGTCCTACCAAAATGACCACAGTCTGAAGGTAGCCTGGGGAGTAATCATAGAACATCAGTCAAAGGACACAGCTGCATGGCAGTTCAGTGGACCAGTACTGATAAATTTAATTATTTTAGCTACTGTTTTATAGTCGAAGGTTACATTGTTTTTAACAATTCAGTATTTCCTTCCCCTTACTAGATAAAAAGTAATATAGATCTTCAAAAATAATCTAAATACTTATTAAATATGTCAGTCAACATATCTGATTCTGTTATTATTGATAACATTTTAATTTTTAAATACGTTTTCTTTCTTGTCATTATATTCTCTTTTTTATAGCTGAGTTGCAATTGAAAAAGTAGCACATTGTTTACCTTATTAGGAAAGTTTTGGCACTAAAAATCAAAATTTATACTTTTAATGATTACTTTTTTTAATTTTCCATAGTATTTTACAATTTTAATGTGGTCTCCATATCATGTCATAATAACAATTTTTTTTCTTTTTTTGAGTCGAAGTCTCACTGTGTTGCCCAGGTTGGTGTGCAGTGGCACGATAATGACTCTCTGCAGCCTCAACTTCCTGGGGACAGGCGATCCTATGACAATAGGCACACACCACAATGCCAGGCTAATTATTTTTATTTTTGTAGAGACAAGGTCTCACTATGCTGCCTAGGCTGGTTTCAAATTCCTGGGCTCAAACAATCCTCTTGCCTCAGCCTCCTTAAATGCAGGATTTACAGGAGTGAGTCATCATGCCTGACCCATAATAATAATTTTTAAAAATGATTATCTTCATTCCATTTAGTAAGATCATAAAAAGTTTAATATTGTGATGAGAACTTTTGCGGTCATAATCCAATTCCCATATTTTATAGATGAAAAGATTGAGACTCAGAGTTTTAATAACTTAGCCCTAATTCCCAGTTTTTTAGGACTGTCAAATTAGAAACCAAGTTTTCTGACTCTTACAGTATTTTTTTATTTACTAAAAGAAAATAATTAAGCCATTTTGTTATCTTTTATACTATATTTTCCATTTCGAACTTATACTATTTAAATATTGTTTTGTAGCATAATTAGTACAGGCAAAGGAAATTTTATTTTTATATAGAATAAAGTTTTGAGGTTTGATTTTAAAACATATATATGTTAGTAATCACACAAGAGAAAAGATTAAAATATCAATTTTTTTAATTTGGTAGACAATGGAAACCGATTACAAATTAAAAACACTCTGTAAATTATTTTTAAATGTTAAAACAGCTTTAAAAAACACTTAATTTTCTGTTGACATTTTCTTACTTTTTCACAGATGAGGAGCTTTTCTCTGGAATGTATATAGATTTCATGGGGACAGATGCTGCTATTTTTCGAAGCTTAACAAAGAGGAATGCAGTCAGAACCGATCAACACAATTCCAAGTGGCTAAGTGGTAAGAACCCACACTCTTTTTTTTTATATCATACTTTAAACTTAACTTATTTAATTTCATAATGACAATGAGGAGAAATGCTGTAGGATTAAAATATAAGACCATGACATGGGTGATGATAATTCTGTACTCTATGACTTAAAATATTTAGTATAAATAAGTAATTGAAATAGCCCCAAATCCACATTCCAATTCTTTATTTCATTAACCATCCTATAGCTGTCATATGAATATGAATAGATGAAAATGATAGTGATATTCATCATACATACCAGTACCCAAGTATATTACAATTAAATATGCTTTTTACTTTCTTCAATCTGTTTGTTTATTTTAATAATGCCAAATCTAAAAATTATCTTAAATGGATAGCACTTACAGATAATAAGTAGGAGATGGGAGCTTCTCCTTTTTGTTTTATATTTAGATTCTAGAATTATAAAACTGATTTTTTAAATAATTTGACTAATATTCATAAAAAGCATTGGTATGTAACTATGATTATCAGTGTTCCATTGTTTCCAAATTTTGGCCTCTTATAGAATTCACATCAAAAAGGTACCCATTTGATTTTACTGTATGATGATGTAAATCCATTGCTGTTGTTTAGAAAGCACTACGTTTCTTGTCATTTCATCCTCAGGAAAATGTCTAGTTGATCCTAAATTTGGCAATTCACTTAACATTACACAATTAAGCATGAATCACCACTGTTGGAAATCCTATTTCACTGATAGATCAGCACAAGAAAGCATTGATTGTCCATTTGCTTCTTCAAATTATTCCTCCAGCGCATCTGGAAAAAGAATATTCTAAAAGTGGTTTTGTTCTTCAAATAAGAACCCTGTATGTCTCCAAGTAGCTACTTTTTTTCTCCCTTGAAGAATTTCTCCTTCATTTCATCAGCCGTATTTTAAGAAAAAATGTGTTTTTCAGATCTTGAATTTTTGACCCCTCATTCTGCTCCAACGAATTTGAGTTTATATGCACTAGATTGAAAGCCACACTTTGAAAAATAAACATTTTTTTCAATAAAACAACCATCAGATTCCATGAGAAATAACTGGTAGAAAAGTTTTTCAACTTTAAAACAACTCTCATCAGTGCACAAAGAATTTTTGCATTTACTGTCCTTCTAGAATGTATTGTAGAGAAAGAAAAATAGTTTATGCTATTATCTTATAGCTATAGTTTATGGTACTTGTCATTCCAAATGTGGTATACGTTGAGTGAATACATTTACTGCTTTTAGAAATGTTGTCTATGAACATTGATATGTTCTTTTATACCAAGGAGGGGGAAGGCTTCTGCCTGTGATCTACTTGGATAAACAGTAGATGGATTTTCATCATGCGTATATATAGCCTTTTATATTTTTTTCCAGAACCTATGTTTGTGGATGCACATGTCATCCCAGATGGCACTGACCCAAATGATGCGAAAGTATACTTCTTCTTCAAAGAAAAACTTACTGACAATAACAGAAGCACTAAACACATTCACTCTATGATTGCAAGAATATGTCCTGTAAGTACTAACATGGTTCTAATTTGAAGAAAGAATGAGAAACTCAGATTACATAGATATGTTTTCAATAGTTTATCTTCCTAATTGTATCTAATGTTACAAATAAATAAAATATTGAAGGGAGACATTTAATATAATATTTATTTATCATTTACAGCATCGATCATATGGGATAAGCATACTCTATTTTAGTAAAAACTTTAAGAAAATATTTTTGCTGTGTCTTTAAATAAATAAACTGTTTTAACTAATTTTTTGCATAGCCATTTAACACATGGTATTAAAACAAATAGCTAAGCTGTATATTACAAAAAAATTGTGAATAAAATATAGCAAAAATCTTGGTAAAAGGTAATTATTAATGAAGTATTTATAAATAGTAAAAATTAAGAAATGCTTTCATAAAATACAGCTTTAATTATAAACAATAACCAAAATTCTCTTGCATCTAAACAGTAAGTATACATAGAAACACAAGAAAACACTCGCAAAGGTGTTTTACAGACTTGTCCTGTCTTATTTATGAATAACATCCTTTGAAAAGGTATTTCTTAAAGTGTTTAGTGCTTAAAACAGTTTATCTTTCTATATTACAATATTCTACTGATTATGGAGCTCAGCTGTTTCTCAATTATTTGTAACAAGGTAGCAAAGCCAGGAAAAGTGGTAAAAGGCTTCTGGATACAGAGGAATCAAAAAATGTCAACAACAAAGACTATTTGTGAATGATCCAAATGCCATTTCCCATGTCCTGGCCAGAGAAATACATATGATATAGCATCTGGTTAGAAATACTGGGAATGAAATGATAATTCAGAGAAATGAAGGAAGGAAAATATAACTACTGGGGACCATTTGGTTTAAGAATAAAACCACTTTCCTGACCATAGTAGAATCTGCAAGACTCACTGTATACAATAATGTATGTTCATATTGAAGATGAGTTATAAAGAAAAAACAAACTAAATTATTTATTCTCCATAATAATTTATAACTATTTTCGCTGTACACTGTTAAAATTAGGACTATTTCGGGCATATATTTATCTGATAAATTAATTTATTTCCAGCTGATATCAGACTATAAGGGAATAAGGGTAAAACTATTAACTATTATATAAAATATTATAGGCCTTAAATATTCCTCTTTGACTATTAATGTGCAGTTGTGGTTAACATTTTTCTTGTTGATAGTTTCTTTTAATTTTAAAGATGTGGGGTAAAATTCAGGGTTAGTTATACAAATGATCATTGTACAAGTAAAGTTTGGGCCTCATTTGGCCCCTACTTCACCTGGTTTGAGATCAGGTACCGTTATTGATGAAGTATGACCCACCCTCCCTCCCAGCAGTTTCTCACTACTACCAATTCATTTTTGTAGTAATATGATAATAGTACAGGAATTTGATTAATATTTTTATTCTTCAGATTTCCATTCTCCAAACAGTGAGTCCAATTTGAATTTTTAATACATTTTAATATTTATGTAAGTCTGAAATATGTTTACAAATTGTTTCAGAATGATACTGGTGGACTGCGTAGCCTTGTCAACAAGTGGACCACCTTCTTAAAAGCGAGGCTGGTGTGCTCAGTAACAGATGAAGATGGCCCAGAAACACACTTTGATGAACTAGGTACATATATGTGAGATTGAAAAATGTTTCTGAAAAAGAAATTGTAAGGTTATATATTTTAATAAGCTCTTAGAAGAGTATGTACTTTCCATAGCTATTTTCAGCATAAATAATGTGTCAGTTTGAATTAATGGTCTAGATACTATTCATAAATTTCCCTAAGTATTTTTAAAATCAATTTTGCCCCTGAGTTCACTGCTGAAACATTTAGCTCACTGAATTTATCATGGTAAATAAATAAGTGCATATGGGGTAAGGTGTTACTTGTGTAATTTACATGTAGGTAAAGACATGTTTGTGCTTTTATAAATGAATATATTTCATGTATATTAGAATATCTAAGATTCTGATTTGAGATCAGTTTGTAGGAGAATTCAGTTATCTGTTTTTTAATTGCAGCTAATGGACAGGATAGACTTTGGATGAAAAAGTGTCAGAGTAGAAGTTTGGAGACTTGTGTTCTCAGCATGACATGAGGAGGCTTTCACTTTCCAGGTCAAATAAGAACTAATTCCTTTCGACCAAGGAAGAGTTCTCTTTAATCAGAATAACCTTGTGCATATCATATTTACTAAGTGTCATTTATAAATGACTTTTCTTTTGCCTAAAAGCTTTAAAATGTAAACTAATAGTCATTCTCAGATTTCGAGGTAAGTAATAAAACTGTATTACAAAATGGAAAAAGTTAGTGGTTTTAACACACTTGTAAGTAGTTATAAACCTGAAGTAGATGATTGTGCTCCTTAAAGACTATTATGTTAATCCTAGAAGCACAATTTTCTAAATAAGTTTTTCTAGAAAAAGGTACTAAGTATTATATTTTTACATAGTCTGGTCACTTATTAACCTCTCCAGATTATTTGCAAATATGTTTATGTTTCGGTCTTTCTTGTTCTGTAGGGAGATCTAAACATTATCAGTCTTTATTCACGTGTGAAAAGGCTAGTAGTTATTAATTTATTGCTTAAGAGTTCATTTAAATTTATAGTTAGATTAAACAACTGCATATTTCTTTGAATTTCTCAGAAGGAATTGAATTTACAGGATTGTCATTCTATTCAGACATTTCTTACAATCATGACACTTGACTATTAATTAGAGTTTTCTATCAGAAATCTACTTTCATGTTCTGTTATTTATTACTATACTTTACTATGCATTCTTTTGTCTTTTATATCGTTTAAGCTCTTGTTTTTAGAGGAACTATTCATTAAATAAAAATATCACTAGCAATTTTAACCATAGCCTCAAAAAATTCTATTTTATATTTTAAAAAGAAAATATATTTTATACTTTAAAAATAAAATATTTTCTTTCACATTCCAACTTTTAACACTAGGTAAAACCTTTGTAGTTTTATTTTTAGTTTTTGGAGTTGGAATCTCACTCTGTCATCCAAGCTGGAGTGCAGCGGCACAGTCACAGCTACCACAACCTCTGCCTGCTGGACTCAGGCAGTCCTTCCACCTCAGCCTTCTAAGTAGCTAGAACTACAGGCATGCACCACTACACCCAACTAATTTTTTTTATTTGAGATGAAGTCTCGACAAGTTGCCAAGGCTGGTCTCGAACACTTGGGCTCAGGCAGTCCTCTCACCTCGACCTCCACAAAGTGCTGAGATCGCAGGCATACGCCAGCATGCCTGACTTGTAATGTTTTTTAAATTTAAAAAAGTAATATATTATCATCAAAGGATATAAACTCTATTAGTGTCTGTATAATATTTTATTTACCACGTTCCTATCATTTAGTAGCTTCCAAATAATTATGATGCTACAGGAATATCTTCCTAAACAGTACATTTTATACTTGAAATTTTCTTAGGGTAAATTTTTTCAGACAATATAGATAATATTTGGAAACTTTAAAAAAATATGATTTTCCTTTTTATAGAGGATGTGTTTCTTCTGGAAATGGATAATCCAAGGACAACACTAGTTTATGGTATTTTTACAACATCAAGGTAATGATTGCATTTTGTGAGTTACACAATAAGATTTATTGAGTAATATTAATAAGCATAAAGCATTCTTCTAACTTTTAATTTTACATAGTATTTGGAATGCAACCCTTCCATTTTATTTACTTTTGTTTGACAACCAGAATATATTGGTGCTGAACTCATGCTTAGTTTGTGCAGAGTGTTTATCATAATTGCATATTTTCCTCAACGAAATGAAAATATTAATATAATACAGGAATAAGGTATATAAGATATTTTTAAGAAAATAATTTGAGCACTTATGATCAAATAAAACTTTAGGCAGTTTTTGTTATTGTTGTTGCTCTTTTCAGAGGTGATAGATATGTTTATCACCTGAATTTTGGTGATGGTAATATGACTATATTCATATATCCAATCTCACCAAGTTATATGCATTAGTTAATTGTGTAGTTTTTTTCTGTATAACAATTATACCTCAGGAAAACTGGAAAAAATTAGGTATTTCTATAAAAATATTTTTTGCTTCTAGAGCAATCTAAATCGATTACTATTTTGAAGCTAGCAAAGCAGTAAACTAGTTTTCATGTTCTATATAACAGTATTTATATATTTGAAGATAAGTTGAATGTTTTCTCATTTCTCTAGGATTCCCAAAGTTAGTTAGTATTTATTTCAAGATACCAAATCATTTACTCACCCTTTCCGGCACATAGTATATTCTCTTTATTAATTTTATGTTAGGAATGTTCTTTAGAATTCAGCATAGCGTTCCAGCTGTGACTTGGCCAGTGCAGAATGTAAAAGATTCCTTTCATTAGAAACTCCACAACACAACAAAATTTTAAGGTTTTAGCATTCTTTTCTAAGTGTGAAACTATGGTATAATTGTAAGTTGCAATGAGCTATTCAAAGTAAAAGAAAATTACAGGGATATTAAGATGTCTTTAAGTGTGTATTTAACTCCTGTTCTAAGGAGTTTTGATTTAACTCCAAATAATTGAAGAAAAAAATAACCAAATTCTTTAAAAAGTGTTGATTTCAATAAAACTATTTCCCTGGTTTCTGTTTTTTTCAATACCAATAATCTTAAAAAATTCAAAATTGTCATTTCTGACTATTAATGCTAGTTATTAATAGTATTTATTATTTGTTTTCACAGAAATGCAATCCTTTTTCATTAGGTATCTAATTTGAGAGAAATATGTGAGTCAGAGAAATGTTGATTTTAGCCAACTGGCCGTGGTGGCAATGAAAATACTTTTTAGTAAGGATTCAAGCACATGAGAATGAGATCTTATTCACTAAAGATAACTTAATAAATTTTCCTTTGTCTTCCTTTTTTTTTTTTCTGTGACTAACAGGGAAAGTAAATAAACAATAACAACTTAGAATTCTCCCAATAATATTTAGGATGCCATGTGAGAATACTCTTACATGAAAATAATTGTAATACTAAAGAATATGGTGACTATTATTAATGGGATGTTTTTCTCTTAGGTAAATTATGATAGAGTCTATTAATCATGGTTTAGATTTCAAATTCACATTTTAAAACAAACTCATCAATACTTTTTTTGTTGCTGCTAAGATAAACCAGTTAGAAAGTTTTTTGACTTGTCTTTTCTTTTTTGGAAACATGGAGAATTTTTCTATAACATAATATTATCTGCTACCTCCATGGATAAATTGAGTATTTTATGATGTATGTATCATTGCCTTATTTCAAAACATAAGTTTTTCAACTAGACACGTGTACCATAGCATTTCACTTTTCCATGATGAACTAATCAAGTTTTTATCACAAATTTTTACTATAATTTAAAAATTTTATTGAGATTAAAACAATAAGAAAATTGGTTTCTTTTTATTTTAGCTCAGTTTTTAAAGGATCAGCAGTGTGTGTATATCATTTATCTGACATACAGACTGTGTTTAATGGACCTTTTGCCCACAAAGAGGGGCCCAATCATCAGCTGATTTCCTATCAAGGTAGAATTCCATATCCTCGCCCTGGAACTGTAAGTATCCAGAAAAGTTTCTTTGATATGCTTTACTTAAAAATTATTGAACAAGAAATGAATATCATATTGGCATTGATTAAATTCCATCATAGCCCTACTGATATACTCATTATACTTTTTCAGCTCATGATATCCCAGTTTTGAGATTTTACTAATATGTCACACATGTTGTAGAATGCTCTATATATTTTTTCTTTTTTTGAGTCAGAGTCTCACTCTGTCGCCCAAGATGGAGTGCAGTGGGATGCTCACGGCCACTATAACCTCAACCTGCTGGGCTCAGGTGATCCTTCCACCTCAGCCTTCCAAAAAGCTGGAACTACAGGTGTGGACAACCACGCCTAGCTAATTTTTCAGATTTATTATAGAGACGAGGTCTCAACAAGTTGCCCAAGCTGGTCTAAAACCCTTGGGCTCATATTATCCTCTCGCCTCAGCCTCCCAAAGTTCTGGGATTACAGGCTCAAGCCACTGTACCCTGCCTCTCCATATTTTTTCTAAGTGCTAGTGATAACAACAACAACAACAACAGACCTCATTTAGATTCTGGAACAACTGTGGAAGTTAGACAAGGCATGGATAGTTCCGATTTTGTTGACATAAAAACCATAGATTTGAAAGTATTAGCTTTTTGGTGGTAGCCTAAGAATTTGAATGCTAGTTGTTTTTCACAACACCTCCCCCACCTCCCTATATTAATCTCATCTATTTTAATGAAAAATATCATGTGAGAATTAATTTAGAAATACTTCATGTGAAGATATTTCCTTTGTAGGGATATATTTAGTTTAATTTCTATGTTATACTCTTCTCAAAGAAAGAAAATTTGAAATTTGTGAACAAATAATTACAACAAAAATGATGTTGTTATTCAAATAAAAGATGAATTATAAAGTAATGTACAAATTAGAACTGTTTAACTACATTTGGCTTTCTAATTAGAAGTCACCTAGAACTTTTGTTTTTAAAGCATGTATATATATTAATATTATGCAATAGTAGTAGTATTAGGGGTACATTGAAAACGAACCTTTCCAGCAAAGATATAGACAGTGCACTGGCATATTGCAGTTGGAGTTTTTTTTTTAAGAACTCCAGTGATAACAGTCCTACTATTAATTTTTTATCTGACCTATAATAATGCTGCCTTCTAGAATATTGATTAATTTTTCTCTTTACATTGTCAGACACTGTACTGAGAGGAAATGTTATATAAGTGACCATCAAGAAAAATATAATCTTCTCATATTTCTGCATAACCTAGAATAAAGTTATAATTATAAAATTGGTAAATATAAATAATTATTTAAATAATTTAAAAATTACTGTAACATTTATACTAACAAATTGTTTCCCTTTCCTTTTCCCTTGAATTTAAAATTCTCTTTGCTGCCGGGCTCGGTGGCTCAGCCTGTAATCCCGCGCCTTTGGGAGGCTGAGGTGAGTGGATTGCCTGAGCCCGCGGGTTCGAGACCCGCCTGTGCAGCAAGACCTCATCTCTACAATAAATCAAAAATCAACCAGGCGTGGTAGCACGCGCTTATAATTCCGGCTACTCGGAAGGCTGAGGCAGAAGGATCGCCAGAGCCCAGCAGGTCGAGGCTGCAGTGGCCAGGAGCGGCCACTGCACTCCAGTCTGGGCAACAATGGAGTGAAACTCCAATACAACTCCAACTCAAAAAAAAAAAAAATCTCTTTGCTAATATTCTTAAGGCATTAGTGCCATGTAATATTTAATAATTGCTGATTCTTTTTATTTTTTATTTTTGTTATAAGAGTTTATTTGCAATGTATTATTTACTCCTTTATTTTCTCAACATCTTAATTTTTCATCTTAAAAATTAGTTGTCAATTTTTTCTTAAAAAAATAGGAAAAGTGCTTTGCTGAGCCTTTATTTATTCAAAATTAAAAGGACTTGAGTTTGATTCCCTGGTTAGGAAGCTCAAAGATTAATTATTCACATGTATTTTATATAGAATGATTGATTTTTCATTAATTTTGAAAAAAATTATGAGAATGTCTATGAATACTTATTCATGGTAACATTAAATTTTAAATAGTCATAATTAATTGTGACAACAACATTCTGTCACAGATTTCATAATATCCTTTTAAATTACTTCTGTTTGGTACTCAACGCTCAAAAGAAGTGGACAAAACATTTACTTATTGTGTATCACACAAGGAAAAGAAACAGCAGATATAGCCATCTTAGGATATCTTAAGTTTGGAAGTGTTGGACAAGAAATAGGGATTACATGGGTAAAAGAATTTCAGCACCAGTAATGACTCCACACCCGGCCAGGACCAGGAGATTTATTAAAGGGGGCTGTTACAGAGAGGATCTGTAATGGGGAAAAAAGAAAAAAGGAGAGAGAGGGAGTTGCCGGGAGAGGACTGTATTTATCAGCCTGACAGGGGCCAGAAAGGGCCGTGCTATGTTCCTATTGGAGGAACTGCATGGGAGTAGGGTGGGGCCGATGCCGTGTTATAGTCCTATTGGATGCATAACAAAGCTGGCTAAGGATTGGAGGCTTGCAGGTTTGAAATTCGCGCGGGAAGGTTTGAAATTAATGCACGCGAGGATTTGTGCGCACAGAAGGCGGGACATAGGTCCTTTGTTGTCTGGAGTGTCCTCACCATGCTCGGCGCCATTCTGGGAGCTGCCCCTCTGGTCGCTTCCTACACCCTTCATTCCCACCTTTTCTGTTTTTATGGGGAGGGGCGTCATTACTCTTTCTGGCTACTTCCTGCTGGTCAGGGGCATGGTGGGGGTAAGGTGGTGGAAGGGTGCAGAACCAGCCAGAGCAGGGCCCAAAGGTAGGCACTGAAGGTGTAGATTTCAGCAGGTGAGAGTTCCATGAAGGTTCCTTGTAAGTGTAGGACAGCGACTTGTTCCGGCCAGTCTTCCAGTGGGTCCGAGGGCAGTAGTAACCAGCTGTCTTGGAGTAGACTGTGGAGGTAAATAGAGAACCTGGAAGAGAGCATATCTAAAAGAAAAATTAAGTGATGTTT